GATGCTCACATTTTCCATGTCGGCAGTTAAATTTCAGTGCATATCATAAATTTAATTTTCGTCTTTTTACTATTTTGGTTGTATCGTTTTGGTACTTCTGACATTTTTCTAATTTGTTTCTTTAAGGCCCCTCAGTGCATTTCAGTCTCGAAATGTAAATGGCACGAAAATCGGGATTGTTTTTTGCTTTTAATCCTTCAAGTTTCAATCAATCTATTTGGGCATTTCATGACCTATGACTATAAAGATCAAAAATTTTGACATAATTGAAACGAACTGTATGATAAGCGTTTTCAGTCTGTGACAGTCAACCCAGGTAGCTAAATTCGGCAGCATTTGTTCAACCCACTGTAGCGATCTGAGAGTTCATCGAAATTTAACTTTTAGTTTGAAACTTGAAGAGAATAAATCTACGAACTTACCTGAACTGATGAAGCTTCTTAAGTTGGTTCTGAAGCGATTTTGTATTTGTATGTTTCATCATTATCAGTTGAAATAAACCAACTAATGTTGTGTCAAAGACGTTAGATTTTTGCGATATTAATCAATTCTATCCACGAATTCGATGCTATATATGTCGAATATATTTTTGATATGACAACTATAATTATCAACTAAAATTTAGGTAAATTGTCACTAACATCAATTTCAAAAAAATCTTCATAATAAATCTTTCGCGTTGCACCGATCCACAACTGGTGTCCAGACTGGAAAATTGAAATGAATTATGGCAATAATTCATTAGATCGTTCGAAACGTGAAAAGACAATGGCCTGGCTGGTTGCTTTCCCTGGGAGTGCACGCTCAGAGAAAATCGACAAGGCTGCAGACGGAACGAATCACGCAAACTTTCAAAGTTCAAGTATCTTCCTCAGCCAATGTGGAATGCAAGCAATCATGAAGTCTTGTTTTGTCAAGAAACCTGAGCGAGATGATGTTCAATGAGATCTACATTGTGGTACGAAACTACTGCAGACCCAGATTACATGTGGTCGTTGCCGTACGAGCCATGTTCCTATCGACAGTTCAGAATCAAGGAGAGTTTGACGACGACTTTCTTGGAAGGCTTCGTGAAGCTGCTCGGTATTGTAAGTTTACAGTACTTAACAAGACCGCTGATGCCTAAGACGAGATGATACGACTGAAGTGCATCTCGGGATTAAAGTCAGCAGACTCTAAATGCAAGCTACTTGAGGTGAAAGAGTTGAAACAGTCTAGCTGAGATGGAAACTGTTTTACAGTTAAGCGATTAATCACAGCATTTTACTGGGACCTCCAATGTTAACATTTAAGAATAAACTGCATACAATACTAAGTCAACTTTCATAAAACAGGAAATGTTAAAAAGGGGAGTTGAAAGTTCTGAGAACGGCATTAAAGAAGAAATTTTTTTTTGTATCAAGTCTCATCGGCATGGCCGCTGCATGGGAAAGTCTCGTCATTGATGGCACTGAAATGGACACAGCTGCTAATACAACGATGATATCGTCGAACATCTGGTAGAAGCTTGTAAGACCTACTCTAGGTTGAAATATTCGGTCTCTTGAAGCATACGATGGACACAATTTACTTCAAAGGAACAGCAATTCCTGACTGAACATGGAATAGTCGAATCTACTCAAAGCTACCCCTGGCAGTTGTGTGATCGAAAATGGATTTTGGTTTTCTTGGGAGCGATCTCTTACCAACTCAGTACTCGATACATGGGCTCTCAGGGACACTGCCGACAATCAAGGGATACAAGGCCCAAGTGAAATTGAAGTCAAGCCCAACCACTTTTTTTGCAAAGGACGCAAAATTCCGTTGCCGATACAAAAAGCAGTAACTGCAAAGCTACAGGATATGGTCAGACGGAGTCCTCGAGCCAGTGTTGCCCGGAAGAGTTACCATTTGTGTGACAGAGAAAGAAAAATGTTGACCCTAGACTTCGTGCTGACTACACTGGCAAAGTAATGGATGAAAACTACCCTTTAACCGACATGGAGAAAGTTTTCAACAACTTGCATGGAGTCAAGTTTTTCAAGAAAGATGACCTCTCAGACGCTGGCCATCAAGTTGAAATTAATGATGAAGCTTGAGAAGTGAGCACAATTAGTACCCAACAGGGCCTGTTCAAGTTGTGTCGACTACCTCAAGAGTTGAGGAACTTTTCCTCGATCTTTAAAAACTGCATCGAGAACACTCAACGGAATCAAAGGCGTGGTTATCTTCCAGGACGACCTGCTTGTCTGCGGAACATCACGCGAGCAATACGAAAGCGTGGACGACTCAGGGAAAATAACTTCACCGTCAATGAGATCAGGTCAAACTCAAAACCACCCAACTGTTTTGTTGTTAGGCTATTCAATTAAAGCTGATGGAATCAAGCCTGATGATAGGATTGTTGAATCACGAAGATACCGCGAACCACAAAAAACTTCCTTCATTTGATGGACTGGAAAATTTTAACGGACGAATGATTCCGAACTTTGCGACCAAGATGCTCCCGCTCATTGACTTCCGGATTCAAGTTTTCGAATGGGCAGCCCAACGCACTATGTGCTTTCAGAGTACCAAACAAGAACTCTGCTCAAAACCAGTAGTGCAACCCTACTCCTTAGACAAAGAAGTGACTGACCACCGATGCTTCAGAGCAACAAGTTGGCGGGTTATTTCGCAAGAAGGGCATCTAGTGATCTACATTTCAAGGAAGCTATCACCAGCTGACCGCAATTATTGCAACATAGAACGAGAAGCTTTGACAATCATGTTTGTTGTCAAACGAGTGAAGCAGTTCTTACTGGGGTGTAAGTTACTCTAAAGACAGATCACAAACCCTTGCAGTACCTCATTGCTCCAGACGGAGAGTTATCAAAAACATGATCAGCTAGAATAACCAGATGGGCTATTGCGCTGATGAGATTCGACTATCGGTTTATCAGTTAAAGTATGTTCCAGCAGAGCAGATGCAGTGATTAGAGATAATGCGAAGAAGCTGAATCACACTCAAGAAGGAAACTGAAACCTTGACAACACGAGAAGGCGTCATCTACAGGGAAGTTGTATCTTTCATACCGCCGAGATTCAGAAGACAAATTAAGGACGGCGCACCCAGGAAGACAAGCAACAGAAATGGCGCTGAGAATGGTTGCTTGGTGGCCTGGCATGTCACAAGACGTGAAACGACTTGTCTAAGATGCGAGATCTGTCAAAAGAACACACCATCGCTTGGGAAATAACTTCCATGTTGCCAGAAGCCGACGTATCGGAACGATTTCATACGGACTGGGCACACATGAAAGAGCATGGACACATGTTGTTTGTTGCTGATGCAGGAAGTGGCTCGATTGAAGCATTCCTGGATAATGACATAACTACTCGAACTGTCCAAAAATGTCTGTCAGCATTCCTGGCAAGATTTGAAGTACCAAAAATCCTAGTCTCTGACAGTGGATCCGAATTTGTGGGCCATGACCTCAAAGGATGGAAGTTTCAGGGAATTGACAGAATATAATCACCGATCTACCACCCAAAAGCAAATGGACTAGCAGAACGAGCAGTCCAGACAGTTAAACATACCATAAAGGCATGGGGGAAACTTATCGGTCATTTTGTATGTATTTCTCCAACGAGTAATAATGACGCATAGAAACGCTACTTCCAAATTGAAGAGGAAAACACCAGCAGAACTTGTTCTGGGACGAAAAATCAGAGAAGCACAGCCTGCAACTTTCGCCATTCGACGTGGAACCATCACATTCTTGATCCAATCCAATCAATCAGGAACGGACTGTTCTTATAAGCGACAATCAGATTGTGAGATGCAGTCAAGAAACCAATACCACAGATGGAACGAGTAACATTGTGGATGATGAATTAGTGCAATATGAAAATGAAAAGGAACCTAGACCAACTCCAAACGATCGGAAACCAAACTCAGACAAAACCAAACGGTCTTCAAAATTCGGAAAACCAACGAAAAAATACGGAGAGCCCATACCGATGATGTTAAAGCGTAATAAATTGGCCTAGAAACGATTCTATCTTTATTGATGTCTATTTATTATCAGTTGAGTTTAATCAACTGTCGCAATGTGTCAACCATGATAGGTTCGCATGATAATAATCAGTCCTATCCATGAGTGCGATGCTATATATGTCGAATGTATTTTTGGTAAAAATTTACCGAAAGTGGGAACGCGTGAACAAAAAAGAAGTTTAACCCTAATGACTTATCTTGTTTTTTCTGTAGACTTTTCCCACTGATATCAATTATACATACCAACTAAATTTCAGGTAAATCGTCGCTCAATGAAGTGTTTATAAGAAATCTTTTGTCTTGCACCGATCCATATCACCCACCATTACCGGGACGTGAAACTGTTCATCTGTAGCTTGGAGGAGCGATTCCGGCTCATAGTAAAACAGAGTTTTCACGGCTTATTTTACTTTTTTCACTGATTCAACTTTTTTTAAAGAGCTGTTTTTCGCCGGTTTTTGCTTGCGTTTTCAAAGCGCAGCTTCGCCTGTGTAGAAAACTTTCATTTTTCACATAGGTGATCTTTTTGACTCTGGAAGAGTGTTTGCAGATTATGAAGCGACCATTGTGTAGATGCTACGACAAAAATCTCAATTTCTATGTCGGCAGTTCAATGTCGGTGCATATCATAAATTTGATTTTCGTGTTTGTACTTTTTTCTTGCATCGTTTTTGTACGTTCTTCTGCTGATTGATTTAAAAATATGGTGGCCAATGTTGTAGTGGTGAAAAAAAAGTTTTTCTGAGCTTTTTCTTTTGGTCCTTTCAGTGCATATCAGTCTCGACAAGTAAATGGGGCGAAAAAAGGGATTTTATTTTGTTTTCAAAATTAGTTCAAGTTTCAATCAACCTATTTAAGCATACCATGACCTGTGACTATTTATGATTTAAAAGGTTTGCCATAATTGAAACGAACTGTATGATAAGCGTTTTCGGTCTGCGGAAGTCAACCCAGGTAGCTAAATTCAGCAAATTTTGTTCAGGTGTTGTTCAACCCACCATTACCGAGTGAGTTTGCAGTAATCTTCACAGTCCTGAGAGACCGCCTGGTGGTGAATGCATTCCACCTGCAGCCGCTTAAGACGTCCTCTGACAACCGGAAGATAGAGCTCAGGTACATGTATACAGGCGATGACGCCCAACACTACACCAAACTACATACAAGCCTATATTTAACTTTACATACAAGTAAAATCAATTTCTATCTTTTTAATTTTCAGGTTTGTCAGTGAGCGTAACCAGTAAACTGTCATCGATGATAGTTTACTGGCTACCCGCATTGACAAACCTGAAATTGTTGAGGCTAAAAAATTTCTGGCTTCGGCAACAAACAAACAATTCTAGATTCTTCCAGTGCGTCCTATCAAACAGATTAAAAGTTTTGAGTGACAATTTTTTTTGCATTAGTTTGTTTTGTTGTTGTGTAGATTGGCTCTCAGCCAGGGAAAAGTTGAGATCGGGAGTCGTGCGAGTGAGAGCACCCCAGTGCCATGGCTCACATCCCTCATCATGGCAATCTCTTTCTGTCTAGAACAGAGTCAGCTGATGAAGGACAAGGTCGCCATGTTCCAGCAGTACCACATTGCAACCAATACGACCGCGGTCTCCTCGTCCCCCTCCACAGCAGCACAATCAATCCACAACTCACACAAGTCAAAGCAGGGCACAGCTACTTGTACTCCCATCGAACATAACAATTACTGAACTCAACTTCATCTAAATCAATAAATATAGCGCCTGGACCAGCAGTTCTTTGTTTTGAGAGTTGTTTTGCTGATTGCTTTGTCATGTTGTATTCTAGACTTCACGATAAATTAAGTTTTCACTTTAAATGTTTATTAGATTTTTGACAGAAGCGCGCGTAATGTTATACATGTTCACTTTTTATCCAGCTCAAAGTTCTAAGTTAATGCGTAAATTAAACAGCCCGATCTAGGTATATCCGCGTTGATCCAGCGAATTCTTTGCTGTTGATATCTAAGTGGCAAGAGTTACTGAATAAGGCATCAGATTAGGAAGGCATCATATTAGAGGGTTAGGTCCACTGCTTGCGCAAAGTTTTTTACAGGCAAGGTTTACAGGCGGAATATCACTGGTTGGAGTTTTTATATGGCGTTTTAACTAGCAAGTTTTGATGATATGTTACAATAGGTGTTGTGATGTGTGATATAATTTCAACTCAATGAACTTTCGACAACCATTTCATTTTTATAATCGACCTCATGTTGAGAATCTAGTTTTACTTAATTTGAACGAAAAATTGTTGCCATTCAGCTTTTAAGAAAATACACTGAAAATTAGAACTGAAAAACACAGGATAAAGCTTTAGAAACACTAACAATGAATTGCTCACAGCAACTAAAATGACACTGCGTCTAGCTAAACCAGACCAACACTACGACTTAAAGATGCTAAATTCAACCAAGCAGGTTTTGTCTTGATGATTGAAGATTACGTTAATGAAAACAACAAAACAGATAAAAACAAAGTCGTATGCACCAATGTTCGGCTAGCAGAAAAGTCAATTTGAGTACTCACAGATAACTTGAGCCTTTCAAGCATTTTTGAGGCCATAAATATACACCCATTATTGTGGAACTTTGTTGATCAACTCCTCTTTTAACATAGGCTTAGCGCTTATACCCTGCAAAGCAAATGCAGCAGCTGATTTTTCATCACGCATGCATACTGATCCAACACTATTAATTGTACTGAAACTGGCAGATAGAATCCCAACACGAGAAATTGAAGTTTCAATATTTGTAAAAACTTCAAATGTTTCCTGTTCATCAATTTTTGGTAAACAAACAGTAGAAAATGAAATAATTACACTTGAAATCATTAAAGCTATAGAGAAAACCAGAAATCCACATGTTATCAATGAATTGACTAAACACAAAATAGTAATGACGATTTCTGTAATTTTTTGCGTATAAAAACGAAAGTCATGAAATTGAAGCACAAAATTCGGTTGATATACTTTTAATGAGTATTTCACAAGCAACATGGAATGGCGACAAAAATGAACAAGGCAAAATTTCATCACTTCAATTTGTAAAAAGATGGAGAAAAGGAACACTATTCTTGGCATCATTTACACACCTTATGAAAAGAAAAAATAGGCAAAACAGTTGCCACGTCCGAAACTGGACAATGGTCATTTTTTTCTGATACAAGATAAGTCCTTCTTAATCAATTTTGTCTTCTCAAGCATCATAGAAAAGAGGTTTTATACCGCATTCACAATGCTTCCACAGCCGGTCACCTAGGAATGTTCGCACCGCAACAGAATTTCTTAAATTGTTCTATTTTTCAGGTGTTACTGATTTTTTTTCAAGATGTACGCAATTGTTTAAAATGTCTTCAAACAAAACGTTCTTTGAACATCCGATTAATACAGCTTTTACAGGAAATAACTAGTCTTCAATAATTTCCGGGCGATATCTTACAGATTGATTTAGTCGGACCATTTAAATCACCGATATTTGCATGCGCACTAACAGCTATAGATATTCTTACAATTATTTTTTTTTGCAGTTCCTTCGATAGATCCTAGAGCAAAAACAGCCATCAAAGCTTTGATCTCGATATTTTTCAAGCATAGTAACCTGAATATGTTTTAGCATAATTACAGGCTGATCCTTTGGCAGGCTGATCCTTTGGCAGGCTGATCCTTTGGCAGGCTGATCCTCAAGTGTTACCATTGCGTTGACAGTGCCAGTATAACATTTTTGAGGGTGCAGCGTGGTTCAATGTATTTCAAACACAATCACTAAAACATGCTTCAAAATCTTGGGAAAGACTTTGAAGCCAGTGGCGTCTTTTGGGAAAGCTCGGAAAGTCATTTTCGTCGACCTGAAAAAAGATTTTTTTTCAATATTTTCGCAAAGAAACCAGGACCAGATAACATCCTCCAGTTTCTATAACTACGGCAGATTTACAAAAACCGCCATATTAAATCCTAGAAAATTCTAAACTGCTTTGTATTTCATATGTTATCTGAAATAACAACTAAAATTGAACAATTTTGGCTCTTAAAAGTCATTTTTTGAGCAGTTTTGAAGAAATATTTCAAACCCACATCTGAGAACTTTTTCAAAGAATCAGATTTAGTTTTTGTAAATTTTTTCTGCATATAGACCTGTCTGCTTGCGAAGTTGTCTACTTACTGCTCGCATACTTTTTTTAGGACAAATCATTTCAGATACTAACTCGTGAACTTTTTCAGCGGCATGTCGGAAATCATAAAGCGGCTGTTATTACATTTAATGTAAAATTATGAAATTGACGCTCAAATTAATTAGGAACAACGTAATTTTGACTAAATCAGATCAGGCAATTTAAGTAACCCCAATTAAGCAAAAGTCCAAGTAAATTGTTCAATTTAAAGCTAAAAACTTTAGCGAAATTAGGAGCAATAAAAGACATGAATCTATCTAACGATTCCAAAATCTGGAGATTTTGACTGCAAAACACATAGGATAGCCAAGGCTACCGGATAGTTAATTAAGAGGTCAGTTGGTCAAGTCCACAGGGGAATGATTTAGGCGCATTTCTCACCATGTTACTTGATAAATCACAATTTAAAATATCAGTGTGGGGTGGATTCGAGTTCGTTTCACTGGTCTGAGAGATTAGTTTTTAACGGCACGGCCATATTTCTTACAATGCGTGCAATTATGGGATTTTTTTCAGGTAAAAGTCCAAAAGGAGAACACCAGAGCGGATTTAACAAGCGGACGAGGTTTCTAGAACGGCGGAACGGGTGACGATAACTTTGCCATACATCAGCGAAACTATGCAAGCGAGGGTGTACTGGCCCTTTGGGCTGTTCTAATCAACAATTTGGTGTACAACATAAATTGTCTGAGCAGCTTTGAAAAATACCTCAAGATAAAGTTTGATAACTTTTTTCAACCAATGAGATTTAATTCTTGTAAAGTTTGTTTGCATATAGCAGTAAAATAATACAATGCCTACTTTATCTGAAGTACAGTTTTGTTAAGGATGTCGTCTGAAAGTTGGAATCACCAATCATTCGATAGGAAAAACAAGGCCCGATAAACCAATTATCTTTCTACAAATTCCCAGACGTTATACCGCTGGTTCCACTATTAGCAGAAGTTTCGCCGTGGTATAGTTTCGTATGGACATTGCTTTCATATGCGAGACCCTGGCGTTGCCCTCGACAAAAGAAACCTAAACTTCTTAACCTCTCCAGCGCGAGCACGAAAAAACGTACGGCGCAAAATACCTGAGTGGACTCACCGAATATGTGTTACCGTTATTTGGTTATTTTCAACCCGCTGATCAAAATAGTTCCGCGAGAGACCGATATGTCCCTGCGAATGTAATTCAGACTTCTACTTGTTTTAACATCTTCAGGTAGTGGTTCGTCCCTTTTCTGGCCTCTTAAACGCCAATTATTTTTGAAGAAGTTATTATGGTTTCACAGTATACGGGGCGACAAGTCAGATTGGGTCGAGCCTGAATAATACAAAACTTTAAAAAGAACGTTGCGTGACGGGAAAATTAGGCGTACGATTGCTACCGCGACCTATAATTTAGAGCGCTTCGTGTTGTCCCGTTTCAAGCTTTACACATGAGATGACGTTTCTAGACTAATTGGTTTTCCTAGCTCAAAAACGTAACTTTGTAAGTGTGAAACCAGCTAGTTGAATTAAAGCAACCAGATCTTGACTCATCTTAAACGCTTTTTCGTGACTCTCGATGTAATTGAGATAGTCATATAAGTAAACTTTTAGGGCGACAAGTGCGATTGTTTCGAAAATGTACATTACAAAATTTAAAATCAAACGTTCGATGACTGGGTAATTAGGCGTACGATTGCAATCGCGAACTATATTTTAGAGCGCTTTGTTCGTAGCTCAATAAGATAACTTACGAACTTTGTAAGTGTAAAACCTTCTTGTTTAAGTAAAGCAAGTAGGTCTCGACTCAGCTTAAATGCTTTTTCGTGGCCCTCGATAGGAGGCGTTCAACAGGGGTGCCGGACATCAAGCCGACGGGACTTCAAGCCGAATCGTAAAATTAGGGACTTGAAGCCGAATAGTTCTTTACAAACTCGTAAAATATGATTAATTTGAAAACTTTTTTTGAAGAATTTCTGAATTTCTTGATCTTTCTTCACAAGTTATTGGCGTTTTCATAAAATTTAAGCCTCCAAATGATGTTTCGGAAAGTTGAAACGTAAAACATGGTTGAAGGCATTTTTCATGTTTATAATTTATGCATTTCAAAAACCGGCTGATGTTATTAACGGATGCCAATCACAAGTGGTGCATCGTCATGAATAACGTTTATTATGGACTAAACTTGCCAAAATTTTTTAAAAATAACGTTTTACAGATGATAACATAGTGTTTTGAGGTGCTTGTAAAGTTTTAATTTCGGCTTGAAGTCCCTTCGGCTTGAAGTCCCGTCGGCTTGTTGTCCTAGACCCGTTCAACAGTGCCGAAGTACAACATTGCCGAAAAAGGCGGGAAAATATCAGAATAATTTACACGCATATTCTAGAGAGCGGGAAATTACTGACGCTAATTATCAAAGAAAATTACTCCAAGTTCGGCGCCAAAATGTCTGCAACAACAAATTAAACAATTATTTTGGCGCCAAAACGTCTAAATTGCAAATTTTTTCTCCCAAAGTCTTTAAGTGCCACTTAAGATTGTAAATGATCGCTGTTTAATTTTTGATTGCCGCACTTAATATGTTTAAGTTTGTTCAAATTTTTGGCACTGTTGAACAAAGTTTTCATTTTCGGCACTGTTGAACAAAGTTTTCATTTTCGGCACTGTTGTACTTCGACACT